GTGGGGAGAAGCTCCAGCAGGCAAGGCAGCAGGACCAGCTCCTGGGGCTGCTACAGGTCAGCTGAAGAGAGGGGGAGGGCACAGGAGGGAGACTGAGGCTGGGCTGGGCCGGGAACAGGCAGGACAGGGAGAGGAGAGAAGTCTGGATGTTCTGCTGACTCTGGGATGATGCTGGGAAGTCCTGCAGCCTTTGGAGGTCTCTGTCCTATGGCAAGTTGAGCCTGGCTTTCCCCACCAGTAGGCCAATACAGGATTGTCTCCTGTGTGCCAGTGTGTTGTTAATACAGCTTGAGTCCCCCAAGGAGGAAGAAGCGTGAGGGGATAGGAGTGTTCGTGAGGTTCTGGGGGAAGGTTTGGGCACTGTTAGTGGGGGGTAGACATGGCGGTGACAGAGGTCCCCAGTGGGCTGTTGGTGACTATGGTATGCTACAAGCACTCAGTCTTAGAGCCCAAGAAGGTCTATTTACTAGCCTATATGTGGAGAGCCTGATGCAGTGCCATTGTCCCTCTTCAGGATGCCAAGGAGAAGATGGAGCAGCTGGAGGGGGCCCTGCAGAGTACAGAAATGGGGCAGGACCTATGCTCGAGCCGAGGGCTGCAGAAACAGCACCACCAACTGGAGAGCGAGAGCCAGGCACTAGCCACCAAAATGGCTGCCCTAGTCTCCCAGGCCCACCACATGGCCAATTCCCAGCCCTTCATAAAGGAGACCCAAAAGTACCTCCAGAGGTATTTGCCTGCTTGTTCCATCTTCACCCCACTGTGTTTTACCCTCTCATGTGAACATGAGGATGGCTGCACCCAGTGAGCCCAGCAGAGTGGCACCTACAGAACCTGAGGTTGTCCCAATCTCCTTCCCTTATGAGTAGAGTTATTCCCAGGGTAGGAGGGTCCAAGACCCCAACTAGACATCCTAAGCACCCCAAATCTGAAGTCAGGTGGGTCATCTGGGTGGGAGGTTGGGCCCTGGGCCCTCTCCAGCTGTCTCCCCCTGTCAGATAAGGCTTCCCCCTATACCCCACCTTGTTCTTCACAGGTTCCTGGTTGGGCCAAGGAAAGGGCTGAGGGTTTGTCCTCACCTATTCCCAACCTCTTTCATCTCTTCTGCCTGCACTCAGGTTGGAGTCCCTGCGGGGACATCTGACCACCCGGCATCTGCAGCTGCAGGCCTCGGTTGAGCTATACCAGTTCTATCACCTGAGCACCATGGAGCTCACGTGGGTAGCTGAGCACATGCCCATTGCAAGCTCTGCCAGCTCTATCAAATGCTTGGATGATGCCCTGAGCCTTCGTCACAAGCACAAGGTAACGGCCCCCTTTTTCTCCCAGGATCCCTGGTGTCCTGTTGCCAGGCCTTAGAAACCCTCTGCTGCTACTCAGGGTGTCCTGATTTCCAAGTCTCTGCCCCCAGCTGTTCTCTGCCTGGGAGTTTTTCCACGATTGGAGCCTGGAGCCAAATTTATGGCTGTGTTCTGCATACCCTGTGGCTAACGGAATCTGGAGATAGCAGCCCCTTGTGCTATCCCATGGCAGGAGCTCCAGGCAGAGGTGAAAGCCCACCAGGGACAGGTGCAACAGGTGCTGGGTTCCGGACAGAGCCTAGCAGCCTCAGGGCATCTCCAAGGCCCGCATATCACGGAGCAGTGCCAGAAGCTGGAAGGCCGCTGGGCAGAGCTGGAGCAGGCATGTGAGGCACGGGCCCAGTGCCTGCAGCAGGCTGTTGCTCTCCAGCAGGTAGGGTGCAGAGAACACAGGGTCAGGGCAAGGGGCAAAAGTTGGGCAGGCTCTGTGAGTGAGACCTGCAAAACCTGGGACTCTCTGGGAGGTGGGTCAGTGGTGAGAACTCGGGGCCAGGTGCTGGCTCGTCCCTGTATGGCACAGAAGCCTCTTTGTTCTGACCGCTGGATAGCCTGGCATGATGTCCCCAAGGGATGATAGAGGGTCCCATCTGTGTTCATCAGGGTGAGTTGGTACTCTTCTTGGCAGTATTTTCTAGATGTGTCAGAGCTGGAGGACTGGGTAAAGGAGAAGTGGCTGCTGGTGAGCAGTCAAGACTATGGCGGAGAAGAGGCAGCCACCATCAGGCTCATTGAGAAGCACCAGGTACCATGTCCCGAGCATCTTCCACACAGCCTGGACTTGGGTGATTATGGGACATGAGGAAAGGGCCTGTCACACACCCAAAGGGCACTTGCTACTTCTGGGGTGCACAGAGCCCTGCTCCTTCTTCCTGAAGACACGGCCAGCCCCTTCCCCATCACCCAAACAAAGCCTGCAAGGCCTCTGTTCATCCCCAGTGCTTTCCTTCTTCAGAAGCAACCCCTTTGAAGGTCCTGTCCCTCTCTTTAGCACCTGTTCTAGTCTACACCAATAGCCTCAAGAATTCTCTGCCTTCTCTTTGTGCTCCTTTTCCTCGCCCAGGCACCTTTCTACTCTCTTGGGGTCACCTCTTCTAGCCCTTTTCTCGTCTTCCACAGGGTTCTTCCTCCCATGCTTTGAAATCATCCTCTGAGTTAACCAAGTGCCCTTCCTGAAACCTCCCGCCCCTAACAAGCATCCCCTGGTTAAAGGGAGGGAGGCCTGGAATACCCCTCCTGGGATCAGGCTCTCAGGATTACACAAGCCCCAAAGCCTGAACCAAAGCAATCTTGGCTCCTGTCCTGTGACTATTGATTTCCCATGAGCCATTTCTGCAGAGTGTGCCTGTAGCCGTGGCCTCATGGAGCCAGTGTCCCAAGCATTCTGGGTACCTTGCTTAACTCTGTTCATCTCTTATACTGTGATGTTGGGGTCTAGTACAGTGCCTCCTTGCCCTGCTTTCCTTGGCCCAGGTTACCCAGCATTCACCCTTCTCTGCTAAATAGTGAGCCCTCTGAGGTCACAGGTTATATCTTCACTATTATGGAACAGTAAGAGCTCCATCAATAATGGGTAGATGGATGATGGATGCATAAGTGGACAGATGGATTGGAGGTGGATGGTTGGGTGGATGAGTGGACAGGGGGAGATGGGTGTGTGTGTGGTCAATGGGTGAATAGATGGGTGGGTGGGTAGATAGGAGGAGAGATGAATGAGTCACCCAGTCTGGCCTGGGTCCTTATGTGCTGACAGGCCCTGAAACAGGAACTGGCTCTTTATTGGAGTTCCATGGAGAAACTTGATCAGAGGGCCCAAGCCCTCAGGTGCCCTGAGGCTCCTGAGCAGCTGGGCATGGTGCAGGAGAGGCTCTGGGCGCAGCTGCGGGCACTGCAGGAGTTGGCAGCCACACGGTAAGAAGCCTTGTACCCCTTCTGGGACAGGGGGTCTAGCCACAGTTGACTGTTCCCATACCATGACCCTGAGTTGGAAGGAACCTATGACCTCAGGCCCATAGAAATGTGTCAGATAAGTCCTTGCTGTGTGTTGCTTACCTCTTTCTATAAATTCCTCAGTGATGGCCAACTGGGCAGGAACATGCACCCCCAGCTCCCAGCAATCCATCTCTTCCCCCCATCCATACCCTCACCTGCCCTACACTGGCTGTCCTGTATTTACTTCTCCCTAGATCCAGAGCCACAGGCCTGGGCAGAGAAAATGAATAACCTCCTCCTTCAGGTCACGCCCTCTGTCCCCAGGGGGCTGGGCAGCTAACTTGTGGGGAACCGCGGGCTAACCCCACAGGGACCGGCAACTGGAGGGGACCCTGAAGCTGCATGAGTTCATGAGGGAGGCCGAGGAGCTGCAGAGTTGGCTGGCTGCCCAGACACAGGCAGCCAGAACGGGAGAGAGCCCCGGAGAGGACTATGAGCACATCCTGGTGAGACGAGGGCCGCGCAAGGAGGAGCCCTGAGGCAGAATGCCGGGGCTGAGGGGGGCTGGCCTGGCTGGGCTATGTGGAGAAGGGTGCCACGGGAGTTATGAGCTCTGGCTGAGGACAGACCTCTGGGTAGAGTGGGCAGGTGCTGCAGCCGTCCAATACCACATTGTTCAGAGATCACTGAGAAGCCTCACCTCCCAGGCTGCTTCTGCCTTGCCAGCTGGGAGCCACCCTTTCACCCATTCCCCTCTTCTCCTTAGCACCTCTACACCAAGTTTACAAAGTTTCAGCACCAAGTGGAGATGGGCAGCCAGCAGGTGGCAACCTGCCAACAACTGGTGAAGAGCCTGCTGGAGCATGGGCACAGCACTGCCCCCAAGGCCTGTCAGAAGCAGCAGGATCTTCAGTGAGTGCCCAGCAGGCCAGACCAGGGGCGTAGGTTTGGGGAGCATGCAGAACAGGCAGCTCCTGGAGTGTTAAGGGCGTGGGTAGTATGCTCTGAGGATCACATGGCTGTGCCTGCCCACGAGGAGTCTGCAGAGGGGCTGGTTCCTGGGAAGTTGAGTCAGCCACAGGTGACCGTAGCCTGGGGAGGCGAGGCTGAGGTGCAGGTCCAAGAACCCTGCCCAGACCCCCAGGGGCCCTTCTCTAAATCACTGGCTCCCAGGACCTGGAGGAGGAGCTGAGGGAAGATTGCCTAGCTGCCCACTTGGGTGGGGAGGGGGGCTTGAATCCAGCCTGTGTGCTGTGAGGCAGGATCGTGACTTGTTCATAGCCCCTGGCACAGAACCTGGCCTGGCAGAGGCCTCAGGAGCTCAGTGAGAGTTTGCAGAGTAAATGAAGAATGGAAAGAAGAGGCGGCCTCTGCCCTTGAGTGTTTATAATCTGATTGTCATATTGATATTGGAATACACAAGATGAAAGGAGTGCCACAAAGCACAGAAATCAATTAAGTGCCGAGAATGATATTAGCAAAGGACTGAATTCATGGTAAAGCTGAAAAGACGGACTCCAGGGAGGAAGGTAAGCAGGGCCAGAGGCAGGAAAGGGTGTTAAGAAGGGGAACTTTGGGCTAGTCCCAGAGAAGAGGAGAGCTGGCCAGACCTAGCGAGGGGACAGAATGCGATGCTGGGTCAATGACTAATTTGTTTCTGGTCTCCTGCACGCCTGGGGATAGGGCTGCCTGGTTGGAGCTGTGTGAGCTGACCCAGGCCCGAGGCCAGCTGCTCCGAGATGCTGAGATCACACTCAGAGTACATAGAGATCTGTCAGAAGTCCTGACCCAGGTCCAGGTATGAGCCCAAGGGAAGAAGGAGATTCTTTCTAAAAGGGAATCCACCCCAGGTGTAGCACTCCACCCTCCATTCCTGATCCCCTTGGTCATCTACTCTCCTCAGGAGAAAGCCACAAGCCTCCCCAGTGACTTGGCCCAGGACCTGCGTGGGCTGGAGGTCCAACTGAGGAGACACGAGGGGCTGGAGCGTGAACTTGTGGGCACTGAGCGGCAGGTGAGCCCAGGTCTGGCTGCCGCTCCCACTCAGGCCCTTGCCAGCCCCCTCAGGCCTGCCTAGCTATTCCTCTAGATTTTCTACAATCTCTCAGGGCCTCCAATTGGGCCCATCGTACATGACAGGGCATGGCTCAATGAGGGACCTGTGGGGTGGACAGGCCCTTTAGCTTCTAAGACATGACCCTTTCCTCCCTATGCCCTACCCTGACCCAGCTGCAGGAACTGCTGGAGGCTGGAGACCCGGTGCAGAAGCTGGGTCCCAGGCCTCAGGCCCATGCAGTGCAGCAGAGGCAGCAGGCTCTGGTGCAGGCCTGGGAGGCCCTGAAGCTACGCATGGAACAGCGCAGGGCCCAGCTGGAGCAGGCCTGCCTCCTGGCCCGCTTCCACACAGCGGTGAGGACCCCTTCCCCTTGGACAGCAAGTGTGCATGCGTGTGTGTGTGTGTGTGTGTGTGTGTGTGTGTGTGTGTGTTGTACACGTTGTACCATGCATGCATGCACATGCACTTATGAGGCCCTGCAGCCCCAGAGAGAAGAAAAGTATGGACATGAAGTAGAAAAGCACATCTGGATGTCTGTTTGGCTGGTTAGGGAGCTGAGCACATGGGGTGTGGTGGCGGTGATTCCTTAGGTTTGGGTCAACACCAGCCCAAGTGAGTGACAAGGCCATCAAGAGATGCGTCACAGCCAGGGCTGGGGAGTAAAAATGGCCAAGAAAGTACATGACTGGAGATTCAGATATTCTAGACAGTGATCTCTGGGTCAAGCAGCATCTGTTGAACATCTGTGTTTGGCTCTGTGCTAGGAGCTATGGGTAGAGAAAGGAGGGTGATATAGAAGCTATGTAAGAGGGAACCACTGCCCTCATGGAGCCTGTCTAGCTGAGGAGATGAACCTAATACCCAAGAGTATCAGGTTGGGACAGTGGGCCCTGTCATGGGATATCCCAGGAGTCCGCATGTCCTGGTTCCTTGTAGACCAGAAAGCCCTATGACACTGCAAAAAAAGGCTTAAGTTTAGGGACCCAACTCTGCCTCCTTTTAGCCATGTAGGCTTGAGCAAAGCCGCTAACCCTAGTTTTTTAGTCCATTTGTGAGTGCCTAGAGTTTACAAAACTTACACACACATGGTGCCATTTACCCTTCTTCATCTGTGCAATGAGATGTTTGGACAAAGATCCCAAGGCTCCTCCAGCTCTCACACTGTGTTTGTACGCAAATCAACAAAAGATTGTTTGCATTAAATTGGAAATCCAGAAGACAAAGCAAGCAGTGAGATGTCAGGGCACCAGGGAAGCCTTCATGAGGCACAAAAGGCCTTGGCCCTTGAAGAATGGGTGATCTTGGAAGAGAGAGAAGGGAGGAGAAGGAGCTCCTAAAGCAGGAGGAGCAGCAAAATCAGAGGGTCGAGATGAGCCTGGGGGTGACAAGGAGGCTGGGCTGGCACATGGGGAAGTTAGTAGACCTGGGAGGATTGGGTTGGATGACAATGGAAGAACCAGGTGACAAAACGCCCCCTAAGCCTCACCTGAGGCTGTCACCCAGGACAGTTTGGGCTGCTGCCATGTGTGAGTGGATCTAGGCGGGCTGCAATTGTGCCTCGGAGCCTGACTCTCTGCTGCACAGCCCAGCTCTCACCTATCTCTCTCCCTCCCTGGAAACCAGGTGCAAGAATACATGTCCTGGGCAGCCCGTGTGTGGCAGGAGCTACAGGTTGAGGAGAGCTTCCAGGAGGCCAGCAGTGGCCCAATAAAGTTCAATGCCCACCAACAGCTTCGGGCAGAGCTGGAGGCCCAGGAGGAACTATACCAGCGGGCCACCCAGCTGGGCCAGCAGGCACTTCTGGCTGCAGGGACACCCATCAAGGAGGTGGGCCCCTTTGTCTGGTGCCCACCCTGTAGCCTACCCTGACCTCCTTGTGCCCTGCCCCACTGTGTGCTGGCCTCTCCTCAGAGGCTTCCCTCAGGATCGCTTCCCTCTCATCCTTGCAACCCCCCACCCGTCAGCACAGGCTCCCACATGCCTGTTCCCAGGTCCAGGAAGGGCTGCGAGGCCTGCAGGACAGGCGGGAGCAGGTGTTCCAGGCCTGGGAGCAGAAGCAAGAGACGCTGCAGTCCATGCACCAGGAGCAGCTCTTCCTCAGAAAATGTGGCCACCTGGAAGAGATCCTCACAGCGCAGGAGGCAGGTGCCCTCACGCCAGTAACACACATCCTCGTGCCCCCTCTTCCCCCTATTTCCCCTCTCTCTCACTCACCTCCTTGCTTCCTGGGGCTCTGGCTTTTCGCCTGATATGAAGCACAGATGTCTGCTCACCACCTCAGCACATACATCTGCAAATGGGGGTGAGGGGCCTGGCTGTCTGGACAGTCCCTGATGGCCTCTGTTTCTTTTCCATGGGCTAATCCAGGCCTCCCTGAAAACCAGTGTCCTGGGGAGCTCAGTGGAAGAGGTGGAGCAGTTGATCCGGAAACATGAGACCTTCCAGAAGGTGCTGACCGCCCAGGATGAGAAGGTAATGGGCTTGGGGAGTCCTGGGCATTGTCAGGCTTGGTGGGGAAAGGAAAGGGAGTTTGGGAACTTTGGAGAGTCCTAAATCGGGGAAACATGGTGCTTGATGTGTACCCAGAGGCAGTGTTGATGTGAAGGGTAACCTGTGGGGCCAGGGGCACCTGGTTGGGGCTGACTGAGCAGAGTTAGATGTGTGGCTCAGGAAGAGGGCCTTGGATGGGGTGGGCCACACTGCAGGGACAAGTCCTTCTGGCCCCATATCATGTGGTCACTGGGTTCTGGTTTGCCGGGAGGATAGGCCAGCCCTAAGTCAGCCCTAGGCCACTCAGGCCTGAGAGAAAGGCTTCCCTGTGGGCCAGCCCCTGCTCCAGACTCACCAGCATGGGAGAACGGCAGGCTGTGTCCCCCACCCCACAGGAGGCAGCTCTGCGTGAGCAGGCAGAGACACTCCGGGGCCCCAGGGTGCAGGACCTGCTCCACACAGTGCTGAAGCATCGGGCTCGAGTGAAGGAACTTGCAGAAACCCGGAGACAGGCCCTGCACACCTCCCTGCTGATGGCTGGCTTCACCAGGGCTGCAACCCAGGTCAGAGGGCCACCCCCCAGCCCAGTGCCTTCCATTTGGGTCACATTTTACAGTTAACAGATGACATTCACCTTCTGGGCTCATTCAGTTCTCACCACAACCCTGTAATAAGGACACTGAAATTTGGAGAATTAAACGGCTTTCCCAGAGGCCGTGCTGAAGCCCAGGCATTTGATTAGAAGCCTCTGTATGCAGAGACCCCGCTGCTTCCTGAGCTCTCACAGGGCTGTGTGGCAAATAAAGACAGGGGAGGGAGTAGAGCAGTCCAGGGCCCGGGAGCAGGTAAGCCTCACCTCTGATATGAGGTCCCCCCCAAGGGCCCTGCCCAGCCCCTTCCTGTTGCTGGGTGGCCAGCTGGTCATGGGGCATAGAACCATTGGTTCTCATTTACCAGGCTCTGCCCAACCCTGCCCTTGGGGTCAGCAGTCCACTACCTGGACACAGCTGAGGGTAGGCGGGCAGGATGTCTCTGTGGACTGAGGTAGTATCAGCATCATGGGATACATGTCCCCACCCTCACCAGGTCAAGGACTGGATCCAAGAACGGATCCAGCATTTGGAAGAGCCACTGCCTCCTGGGAAAGATAAGTTGAGGCACCTGCGGAAGCACCAGACCTTCAAGGCTGAGGTCCAAGCCCATGAAGATGTCATTATCACTATCACCAAGGTAATGGCCAGGCCCTCAGCCCCATTTCTGCCAGGATGGCCAAGGGGAAAGTTCTTAGGCAGTGTGGGTGGGGGCTGTGATGGTGGAAAAGCAGGAGGAAGGGTGACAGACAGGATCTCCTGGTGTCCCCTCCCTCCCAGGAGGGCGAGGCTCTCCTGGCACAGAGCCACCCTTGGGCAGAAGAGGTCTCCCAGAGACTGCAGGCGCTGCAGGAGTGCTGGGAGAAGCTGAGGCAGGCAGTGGCCCTCCAGGGCCAGGACCTGGAGGACACGCAGAACTTCCTGGAGTTCCTGCAGAGAGTGGACCTTGTGGAGGCCTGGATCCAGGACATGGTGAGGCCCAGATGGACAGGGGCAGAGCTGGGGGTGGGGCCATGCGGCTGAGGGATGGGGCTGAGCCCCAGGCCTGCAGCCCCCTAGTTCCCTGACAGGAGAGAGCCCCAAAGAGGCCACCCACCCTGACACTTCCCCAGCATCTGGGTGCCAGAGGGCTGGGTACACCAGGGCTGAAGCTCAGAGTGCCGTCCTCCCAACCCTCGGCTTCCACAGGAGGTGATGGTGAACATCGGTGACCTGGGCCAGGACCTCGAGCACTGCCTGCAGCTCCGCAGACAGCTCCGGGAGCTCCGAGGAGTCTGGGCTGGGGTAAGGGGCCTCCGGTGGGGAGAGGTCAGCCAACACATCCCTCACAGGGAATTACAGCTCAGAGTAGCGACCAAGCCTGGGCTCCAGGGCCAGATGGGGGCTCAAGTGTCAGCTCCATGCTTGCTACCTGCACGTGCTTAGGCAGGCTCCTTCATCTCACGAGCCTTAGTTTCTTTATCTTTAAAATGGGGATAACAGCTACCTCATAAGTAAGAGAGCAGGCATGTGTGGTGGTTACACAAATCTGTGCATGTGATAAAACTACATAGCACTGAGCCTCCCCTCACAAGTACACACAGATGAGCGTGTGTAGAAGCTGATGAACTCTGAATGAAATCTGTCATCTATTAGTTAATGGTTAGACCAATGTCAGTTTCCTGGTTTTCATATTGTACTGTAGATATGTAAGATGCTACCATCGGGGGAAGCCGGGGAAGGGTACATGGGACTTCTCTATACTACTTTTGCGATTTCTCAGGCATCTATAATTATTTCAAAATCAAAAAAAAATGCATGTGTGTCTGGATGTGGTGAATAATTAATAACCCTCCTTTAACATCTCGGCATCTCTTTCTCACCTCCCCTCACACACACTCCCGCACATCTATTTCTCTTATGTGGTGTAGAGGAAAGGAATTGGACAGATGTATTCACAATTAGGTGTTAGAAACCAAATGTGCTAACCTCACCCCCCTGATGTAAGTATAACTGTATTTATGATGTTTTTAAAGTGCTGCAGAGCTCCCAGCTAAGACATCCTTTGCTAACGGTGGAGTTTCACAGCCGCTGTACCAGATGCTGTAGTAGAAAGAGCATTAGACTCAGGAGCTGGGCTCAAATCCTGGCTCTGCCACAAATTAGCCTCTGAGCTCTGCTCCATCCATAAAAGGAGAGAAACCCAGTTCCCTGCCCACCTCACCTGAGACATTTCATAGGGAAGTGCTTTGGAAATTTAAGTTGTTACAAATTCAAGGTGGTATTTGCTGGGGGCAGCACGCCTGCAATCCCACCCACTGTTGGGGGCCTCTCCCCGGGTACCTACAAGCCCCACCCAGTGTCTAAGCAGTGGCAGCCTCAGCCTAGTGATTCCTTGGGGTGGGGACATTTAACCCCAGGAGGCCTGAGCTCGCCATTGCATTCTACCTCTCGCTTTGCTTTTCTTATCCCAAGAAGCTGCATTTTAACTTTAAAAGCTTCTGTTAATCAGTGTGTACCCAGCCTCCCACTCCTGCCTGATGCTGACCCAGGGAGCATGTTTTCTTCTAACCTAAGAGACGGTTCTGGGGCTGCAGGCTCCTAGTGTATCCTGCTTGCTGCCCCTGGGATGGGATGAGATAGGATATGATGACCATGGCAGAGGAAGCAGCTGCCTCCACTCCCCAGACAAGCGGCTCCTCATGCTCTCTAGGGCCCAAGCAGACCCCCCCCAAGTGCTGACTGTAGCACCAAGAATGGACTTGGAGCAGCTGGTGCCAATACCCTCACCCTGTACCCCCACAGGATATGGTGGATGATGCCAACATCAGAAGCATCAACAACTTGTCACTGCAGCTCAAGAACAGGGACCCTGAGCAAGTCAAGACCATCTGCCAGCGGCGACACCAGCTCAACAACAGGCCAGTCCCAGAGCCAGAAGCAGTGAGGCGAGGGAGAGGGGGCTGGAGGGACACCTCAGACTCTGTCTCTCACCCTCTCTGTCAGGTGGCACAGTTTCCATGGCAATCTGCTCCGCTACCAGTGGCAGCTGGAAGGGGCCCTAGAGATACACACATTGTCCCTGGAGCTGGATGGCATCACTGAGCAGATTGGGGAGAAGGTAAGCGGCAAAAGAGCAAATGCAGCCCTGGAGTGAGCCTTTCCTGCCCGGAGTCTCCCACATGTCCTGCCCCTCACCAGTCTCACCTCTTCAGGGTGGGTACTTAGAGATAGGTCTTGCCAGGGGTCTGTCAGAGAGGCCGCTAGGGGCTCTTGGGATCAACTATAGACCATACAAGCCCCATTGCAGGCTTGGAGTCTGGCCCACCTGGACCCTTTTGCCCCCAGAAGCACCATGGGTCCAGAGGCCAGAGCCCGCCACCCCCAGTTTCCTCCGTTGTCCTTGAGCAAGCCCAGAAACACAGGAGGTTTGTCCCAGGATTATGTCAGCCACTGCAGAGAAACGTGAGCTGAATGCTGGCAGAGGTGGAAGTGAAGAAGTTATAGGCAGCCTGAGAAGCCCCGGGTGTCCATTCTCATGCCTCCTCTGGTTCCCACCTCAGCCAGGCCTGGCTGTCCATGCTCAGTTCCCCCCAAAGGCATGAGAGTTGGATGTGACAGTGTACATGAAAGCACCTCACAGATGGAGATCACTACCTCAGAGCAAACCCCCACCCCAAGGCCCTCCCTGGAACCTTCCTCTTTCACAGAAGGAAGGGGCCTCCAGTCAGGGGTAGCTGTCTGCTCTTTCCCCTCAGAGGACACTGGGAAGAGACTCATGCTGGGTGCTTGCTTTCCACACACAAACCCTGCGGCCGGCAACCCCTCTATTGTGAGGGAGGAGCTAGAGAAAGGCCAAGTCGGTATTTCCTCCCCATTCCTCCCTAGGCCTCCCTGGTCCAGCCCCTGGACTATGGGAAAGATCTGGAGAGCGTGCAGAGGCTGCTGCAGAAACACAAGAAGTTGGAGCAGGAAATGGGCCTCATCCAGGCCCAGGTGGAGGTGTGTAGCTGGGTGTGGAGGTGGGCCCTGGCCCTGGGTACCTCCTGTGTGGGGCTCTGTGCAGGTATGCAGAGAACAAGGAGGCTTCGGGACCTTGAGAGCCAGCCAGGTCCATTCAGCTGTTACTCCCACAGGCTGGGGAATGGCAGCTGAGGGCATCCCTGAGTAAAACCTGCCTTCTGGCCCCACCCCTTAGCCCTTAGAGCGTAAGGTGGCCCACCTCTGCCAGAGAAGTCCCTGGGCATCCCACAGCCTCAGCTGCAAGCAACAGGAGATGGTGGGCAGCTGGCGGCAGCTCCGGAGTGGGGCCCAAGAGTGGTATGAGCCCTCACTGCCCTCGCTGACCTATCCTTCAGTACCCACACTTCCACTTGGCCCCAGTTTCCCCCTGAGAATCGTTCTCCATTCTTCAAATAACTGTATTGTCACCCCATTAATCCCCAGCCCCTGGGCCCTTCTTTGGCTGAGGGGATTCAGGGACAGAAAGCACTGGTGGTGGGCACAGAGGGAAAGAGGGGCTCGGAGGCCCTGGGACTAGCTGATGAACCCTGTGGACAGGAAGAAGTTGCTAGATGCCTCACACCAATCTCAGAAAGTGCTGGCGATGCTGCAGGAATTGCTGGTCTGGGCCCAGCAGCTACAGGCTGAGATGCACACCCAAAGTGCCCCCAGCAGCCCTGCAGAGGCTCAGCGCATGTTGGAGGAGCACCAGGAGCGCAAGGTGAGTGACTGGGACCCCAGGGCCTTTCCTAGGACCTCGCATCTTCTCTGCCCTCTCGCTTACTATGATCCCAACTTTCCCTTGGGTTTTTCTGTGTCACCTGCCTCTGCCTTTCTCCTCTTCCATCCCACCCCCTCGGCTGTCTCTCCACCTCTCCTTCCCACGTGGCCTTCTCCAGTGCTGAAGGCCTCAGGCTCTGGGATCTAAGTGCCGTCCTGTTACAGGCCGAGCTGGACTCCCAAACAGACAGCATCAGCCTGGCCCGGAGTATGGGGCAGCGACTGCTTGCAGCAGGACACCTGTCCACTGCTGACATCAGCCAGGCCCTGGCTGGTTTAGACCAGGAGCTGAACAGCCTGGAAGAGGCCTGGCAGGAGCACCAGCTGCAGCTCCAACAGGCCTTGGAGCTACAGGTAGGCAGCCTCCACCATGCCCCAACCCACTGGGGCCTGCACTAAACCCACCACCCCTGGTCAAAGCCAAAGCCAGAGAGGCTGCTATGCCAGGGCCTCTTCCCACCACCCACCACTCACCTCTCACCACCCAGCGCGCCCAAAGTCCTGCCTGCTGTGGACTCATCCTATCGAACCAGGTCCCTGGTTTCCCCACTGGGCCACCAATGGATTCACTCTACCTGCAGTGACTGGACCCTCTGCTCACTTCCTCTTGCCTTTTTCTTTCCCAACAGTTGTTTCTGAGCTGTGTGGAACAGATGGAAAGTTGGCTCTGTAGCCAGGAAGCTTGCACAGCCAGAGAGGGCCTGGGGGTAGGTACCCGGCAGGAATGTGGTAGGATTTACAAGAGCAGCATTAGGGATCAAACCAGCCAGTGCTGCCTGAACTCCCCAGGCCAGAGGGATCTCCCCACCTCAACCATGTCAGTCACTTGCCCATCAATGTGAGCAGTTCTTGTGTACCTGGGGCCCCATGAGGAACGCTGTGGGAGCTTAGAGGGTGAGTGTGTGACACTTGACCCACTCTTGCCTCCTTTCCACCTCCGTTTTCACCCCCCCGCCCTCCTCACTACCTTACACCTAGAGGTTTTCTCTTCCCACCACTGTCCCAACCTCTGCAGCAGGTGAGCCTGACTCATGAAAGACCTTGGAGAATAATTGGGCTATAGTCCATCCTGTGCTGAGGTAGCATTTCTGAGAGTGCAGAGGAGGGGGTGTTCCTGTCAGGTGAAAAACTCCACCTGCCCTGGAAATTCTGAAACTTAAACCTTATCACCAATACCTCCCCTGGCTGAAAATCACAGCCCTAAAGCCAGATACAGAAGAGTTAGAGGGGTGTGTTTGGGCAGAGCACTCGCCATGAGGGTGAGTGTTTGGTAAGATGGCTTTAGGTGGGAAAGCAGATAGCTTGGGATGGGGAGGGGGCGGCCCCATGGACAGTATCAGCTTCCCGGCTCCCACCAGGACCCATCCGCCAATGTGGAGACCCTCCTGTGGGAGCACAAAGTGCTGGAGCGGGGCCTGGAGGCACAGGCGGAAAAGATCAGCGCACTGGAGGCCACAGCGCACCGCCTGCAGTGGGGTGGACACCCTGAGGCTCAGAGTGCCCTGGGCCAGTGCCACGCCATGCTCCTGAGGTACCACCTCTGGCTTTGGGGCTGAGGGGAGTTGTGGGTGGGCTGGCGTGGGCATGGGGCATCCGTCTCTTCCCTTCCTGTCCTTCTGCCTCTTGACCCAGGCTCATCAACCTTTCCCAACCCTGCAGTATGTCAGCCCTTCAGCGAGTTGACCCATTATGGACATCAGGCAGCACGTGGTCATCCAGCTGAGATGAGAGGGAGTTTTACAAAGAAACGTATACTGGGGAACTAGGAGAGAAATGGCCTAATGGAATGGTGGTAGCAGAGCACAGTGATTAAGTATCAGGCCTCCAGAGCCAGACAGCCCTGAGTTCTTTGCTGCCCATTCATGGGGGTACTTGGGGCAGATTCCTCATGGAGTCTCGTGTCTACACTGAGGGGATAACAATACCTGTCTCTTAGGGCTGTGTGAGAACTGAAAAGGGTAGCCTTAATGTCTTATAACAGTGCCTGGCACACGGGCAGGTTGACAGGTATTTTTATGCTCCTTTAACTGAAGCCAGCACAGCTTACAAGACACCAGGTTCCGCCTTTTTTTCCTCATAAAATCCCATCTGGTTCAGCTGCCTCATACAGCTCCTCAGACTTTTGGATCAAGGCAGATGTGACCAAAAGCTGGATCTCAGGCTGGAGGGGGTCTCTGTCCTCCTGGGCGCTTCATGTTTGTGGCTCCTTGTGCTGCTGCGCTGGCAGGGGAAGTGAGCCATCCTCTCCTTCTCCTTGCAGGTGGACCCCTACCTGGGAACCCCCGGGGGTCTTTGATTGGCAGGTGTCAAATGTTGGTTTGCTGGTCTCTGTCAATACCCCCCTCCCCCCAATCACCTTAGGTGGTTGCTAGCAGGCCTGGCTGACCCCCAGGACAATGCCACCCTGACCCCCTCCCCTCCTGGGCTTCTGACACCCTCTGGGAGGTGTTTCTGTTCAATCAAGCCTCTGAGACAAAGATTAATACATACCAGTGTGAGGACTCTACTGAAGGGTTGTGTTCATGGACTCTGGGGTGGGGAAGGTAAGGGGGTGTAGTAGAACTTCTTTTCCTATTGACGTTATATTTTTATTTTTGTGCATATGGCAGTGTACTTAATATATGGATACAGAGGTACACACATGTATAAATCAGTATATATACACATGCATACACACACACAAATACATATATATTTGAGTGGTGCCTGCTCAAAAAATTCTTACTAATAGCAGTGCATGATCAAAAAAGTGGTTTAGACATTGTAATAGTTTTCTCCGGCTGCAAGCACAAAATACCACAGATTTGGTGGCTTAAACAACAGACAGTTCTCACAGTTCTGAAGGCTGTAAGTCCTAGATCAAAGTGTTCGCAGGGTCAGTTTCTCCTGAGGCCTTTGTTCTTGACTTGCAGATGGGTGTCTTCTCCCTCTGTCTTCACATGGTCACCCCTGTTTGTGTCTCTGTCCTAATCTCTTCTTATAAGGACCCCAGTCATATCGTATTAGGACCCACCCTAATGATTTTATTTTAACTTAATTACCTCTTTAAAGACCCTATCTCCAAATACAGTCAAATTCTGAGGTACTGGGGATTAGGACCTCAACATAAGAATTGGAGGACACAATTCAGCCCATTATTCAGCTAATAAAGAGGGGAAGTAGAATGTGTCTCTATTTCAAAGGAAACCCCAGAATCAGGGTGTACTGACACCCAAGAAAAGCTGTCCTAGGCCGGAAAAGCACCCATGCACACGTGCACATGCACACACACACACCCGTAGCAGCTCCAGGTCCTGGTGGGTGGACCTGTGGGCCCATGAGACCCTCCTTCTGGCAGGAAAGAGGCACTCCTGGAACGAGCCCGGACCCGTCGTCTCCAGCTGGAGGAGCTCCGGCAGCTGCAGACTTTCCTGCAGGATTCCTACGAGGTTCCCCCTGGTTGGAGTGGGGAGTGGTTGCAGTGGGTGGATGGAGTTGCCTCAGCAAGAGGTCACCCTTCCTTGGGGGCAGTCCAGAGATAGGGGGAAAGGGAGAATCCTAAGCAGCAGACCCCATTCTCCCTATATGCCCAGGTGGCCCTGTGGCTCAGGGAGAAGAAACTGGTGGCCCTGGAAGAGGGCTGGCAGGACCCAGCCATGCTGCAGGCACAGCTGCGGAAACAGCAGGATCTCCAGGCTGAGCTGGACACAAGCGTGCACCGACAACAAAGGCTGCAGATGGTGAGGCCCTGGGTGTCCGGATGGGGAACCACAGGAAAGTCTGGCAGGCCAGAGTATGGGGCCACCCCACAGGTCCCTGGCAGCCGCTCTGAGTCATAGTAATGGATAGCGACATTCATCGCGTGCTTTCTGTGTGCAGGCACCATGCTAAGCACCAAAGGGTAGTGAGAAACAGTAGCTTCCCTGGGCTTCCTCTCCAAAAATGGTCCCTTTTCAATAACTTGAAAGATATTGTTTTGACATGGTGGTTTTTTTAAACTATCTTGAAAAGATATTAGAGGATACAATCAGGGCACAGCCAACAGTCCTGTGGGTAAAGAAGTCAAAAGCACAGCACCTTTTAAATTTACCCCCTCTTACCTACAAAGCTCAGTCCCTGACCCCAGTTTGGCTCCCTCTGCTATAAAGTGCCCTGCCAAGTATTTTAAATGTTTTTCTCATTTAAACAAAATAACCATTATTATCTCAATTAAATAGATAAGGCTAACAAGTTCAGAGAGGTTAAGGAATTTGCCCAAGATCACACAGCCAGAGCACAGAGATTACAGCTGTGGGGCTGGTGGTTGGAGCCAATACAAATGCCCTGGCACCAGCCGTCCATGTTGTGGCTGTAGGAGGGGAAGAGGCTACTGCAGGGTGGCCACCCAGCCTCAGAGACCATCCAGGAGCGGCTGCAGGAACTGGGAGAACTCTGGGATGAGCTCCAGGCCAACTGCCAGAGGAAGGCAGCCAAGCTACAGGAGGCCTACGAGGTAAGGCTGTGCCAGCTACGGAGCAGGCTGGATGAGGCCCCAGGCTTCTCCCCCTCATGCCCACCTTTGTTCTGTCCCAGGTTCTGCGTCTGCGGAGGAGTATGGAAGAACTGGAGAGCTGGCTGGAGGCCATGGAGGTCGAGCTGAGAGCTCCCACTGGGGGCCAGGACCAGCTTGGGCTGGAGGAGCTGCTAGGGACTCAGGGAGAGCTGGAGGCAGCAGTGGCCAGGCGGGCCAGGCAGGCACAGATCCTGCTGGGCCAGGCCCAGGCCTTTGCGCGGGAAGGCCACTGCCTCGCCCGCGACATGGAAGAGCAGGCCCAGCGGCTGCTTCAGAGGTAGATCTGCCCACACGCATCCTCCTCGCCCTCCTCCCCACTGTCCTCCAGCTCATCTCCTCAGGGCTTCCCCCTGCCCTCCGTGAGGGGCACAGAGTGAGCAGTGTGTCACCACCTGACCCTAATACTGATGACCACAGTTCCTACCTGCCCTGGCCCCACCCTCCACTGCTGCAGGTTGGAGAGCCAGTGGGAACCCCTGCGGGAGCGCAGGACAGCCCTGGAAGCCCAGAGCCGCCTCTTGCAGTTCTTCAGGGACGCTGACGAAGAGATGGCCTGGGTGCAGGAGAAGCTGCCCCTGGCGGCTGCGCAGGACTACGGCCAGAGCCTGAACGCTGTGCGGCGCCTGCAGGAGAAGCACCAGGTGGGGGCCCACCGGGGCAGGATGGGGCTCAATCAGTCAAGGAAATGGAGCTGAGGCTACTGGGAGCTCAGCCTCTGGGGGGGGGTTGGGGACACCCAGGGCTTTGGTCACAAGGACAGGGAACTTCTTGGGGGCAAGCCTGTGGAATCCCACCAGGCTGGAGGCACAATTCTGGGGTCCCCCACGGAGTGCCCAGTAGCATCCTCAGTCCTATCTTCCCCCGACTCCACAGAACCTGGAGACTGAGATGAGCAGCCATGAGGCCCTGACCCGGGCGGTGATGAGCACAGGGCACAAGCTGGTGCAGGCTGGGCACTTTGCTGCCTGTGACGTGGCTGCCCGGGTGCAGCAGCTGGAGAGCGCCATGGGCCGCCTGCAGGCAGAGGCTATGCAGAGGCGGCAGTGGCTGCAGCAGGCGCAGGAGGCCCAGCAGCTCCTGCTGGAGGTCAGGGGGGGGGCCTATGGAGCTCCAAGGGCAGAGGTGGGCATGAGGACCCCAGAGTGTGCACAGGCCCAGAAGGTGGCCCCCCCACGCAGGACTCCTGGCTCTGTATATCTTCTGTCACCTCCACCAGGTGGTCTCTTGCCCTCAAACTCTTCTGCATGTTTCCCAGAAAACAGACTGCTGGATTTGGTTTGGCTTTGTCGTTTCTCCTAAACCAGTGGTTCTCAATGAATGCTTTATATCCGAATCACCTGGAAACTTTAAGAAATGCTGATACTTAGGCTCCATTCTAGGCCAAATCAGAATCTTCCAGGGCAAGAGCCAGGCATAGGGCATTTTTAAAGCTCTCAAGTGATTCCAAAGTGCAGCCAAGTTGAAAGTCACTGCTCTCAATCCTGAGACATGAATCCTAAGCGGGGAGTACTTGGAGGCATCACCCCAGGAAAACTGCCCTCCTCTGTGTCACCCCAGCTCCTGGAAGCAGAATCCTGGCTGGCCGAACAGGGTTGTGTCCTGGACACTGAGGACATGGGCCAGAGTACTGAGGCCACGCAGGCCTTTCTGTGGCGGCTGGAGGCCACCAGGAGAGGCCTGGAGGGGTTCAGCACGCGCGTCGAGAGACTTCAGCAGACGGCAGCCCTCCTCGAGCGTGAGCAAAACCCAGAAAGGTGGGTTGGAGCCAGGCTCATCTAGGGAGCAGGGAGGAGCGCTCACTACAGCGGCACGCGAGGCTGGTCCCTCCTGGAGAGGAAGGTCTCCAGTCTGGTTGTCCTTCCTGCTACAGCCCCAAGGTGCTGGCCCGGGTGCAGGCAGTGAGGGAGGCGCATTCAGGGCTGCTGCAGAGAGCAGAGGGCAGAGGGCAAGGCCTGCGGGAGCAGCTGCAGCTCCACCAACTGGAGCAGGAGGCTCTGCTCCTCAATGCCTGGCTGGCCAGCAAGGTGGCCACTGCCGAGTCTCAGGACTACGGACAGGACCTGGAGGCCCTCAAGGTGAGTCACTCCTGAAGGAATCTAGGGGAGAATGGGTTGAGGTTGAGCAAGGACAAAGAAAGTGTGCATCTGGGGAGGTAAGGGGGTAAGCAGAAAGGGAATGGGGATCTCTGGGCTCTAGGAGGACCCTGCAATTCTAGAGCCTAGACTGTGGGATGTCGGAACTGTCAGATACTGCCAAGCCCTTCGTGAGCTTGGAGAGCTGCTGGATACCACCTCCAGAGTGACCCTCCCATCCCTACGCCCTTGCAGGTGCTGAAAGAGAAGTTTGATGTTTTCAGAGAGGAAGTTGAGAGCCTGGGGCAAGCCAAGGTGCAGGCCCTGAGGGAGCTGGCAGGAAACCTGGAACGGGCTTCACCCAGGTGCTATCCTCAGATTCAAGCCCAGAGGAGTCGCATCGAGGCCATTTGGGAAAGGCTGGATAGGGCAATAAAAGCCCGCACTCAGGTAGGTGCCACGGGCAACAATCGGCCAAGGGATAAGGACATCTATGCCTTTGCATGGGCCAGAGACAAGCAGACCCTCCATCTGAGAGAGAGAGAGAGAGAGAGAGAGAGAGAGAGAGAGAGAGAGAGAG